ATTAGTTACCTTGTTAATGATATCTTCTTATGTTTCATTTGGGACATTTGTTCTCTAAAGTAGTTTTTTAGTACAAAAATTTTTTGTTCAAGAAATTTTTTTACTAAAAAGATTTTGAAAGAAATAAGAATGTTGTCCCAAACGAAGCCTTAAATGCCACAATGTTGCTTTTGCTTTTATCAACCATAAGGTCAAAAGACTCCTCATAATATTCTAGGCAATTGAAAAGTTTCTTTGCACCTGCCTTTTCTTTCATTTATAAAAATTATTATACAATTTACAAAGCAATCACTAGAAATATTTTTGACCTTCTCAGAATTATTCCAAAAAAAAAAATCTATCAAAATTCTTTTACAATTTATTAATATTACCAATCGGGGGAAAATTAGCTTGCAAGAGGAAATTATTCATAGAATTCAACACTTCTTATAAGTGAAAAGCTTGTCACCAAAAGAAAATATCATAGAGTGCCAACTAGAAACTTGGCAACAATTTTTAAATCAACCCATCAAATAAATGAATCTTCTTTTTTCTTTTTTTTCTTTTTTCTTTTTTAAAACCCATGGAGTGGCTTACTCGTTGAAATAAAAATCAGTTGCATAAAACATCCGAATCCACCTCCACAACCAAATTAATTAAGTTCAAAGGGATACAAATTTGGATCCCATACAGAATGGCTATAGTAATAGCAGAATCAATAATACAATTATGGACAGGACCAGCAAAAGCCATAACCAAATTACCATTAGAGTCCCTAATCAAACCACCACAACCAGCACCATGTTCCGAATGAAAGTCATCGACATTAAGTTTAAAAAAATTTGGATGAGGTTTAGTCCAGTAAATAACATTGATATCAGCCGGATTCCTCTTCCAACCAATCCCCAAAGAAGAAGTAATATGAAGACAATTCCTAAAATTATTGATAGAAAGAAAATTAACAGTCATAAGAGAAAAAAAAAAATTATCTTTAACCTCGTGAATAACATTAAGATGATTCATCCTAACACCATTAAACAGGGAATTATTTCTCTCCAACCAAATAAACCAAAGGATAAGAGAGGGGATAACATTGAGAATATGACCTGTAGTATCAACAAACCAAGACTTAAGATAAGCATTAAGAGAAATGTGAGCGTTAAAACTATTCAATTGAAACAAATCATCAAAATAGACCTAAGTTCTAACAGTCACAGGGCCATAAACAAACACATGATGCATATTTTCAGTGATAACAACATTGACATTTCGAAGCAAGAGAGAAGCCTCTCTTTAAGAGATTATCCTTGGTAGGAATGAATTTATGAAGGACTCTCCAAACAAATACAGAAATCGTAGAGGGGATACTCCTGTGCCAAATGTTAGCAAAAATCTTATCCAAATTACCTTTAATATGAAAGGAATGCCAAGCATCTTTAAGATGAAATTTCCCATCATTAGAAAAATCACACAGAATAATATCTTTGGATTGAAAATTAACAAGCAAGGTAAGAATTCTCAAAATAATACAATGAGGGATACAATTAGATAACTTCTCATAATCCCAATAGTTGTCCTTAAAGAAAGAATTGACTTTAACAGAATCAAAAGAATTAGTGTGCAATAAAGAGTCAATAGAATCCTTACCAAGCTATTTATCTTGCCAAAACAAGATATTGCCATCACGAAGCCCCCAAGAAATAAAAGGCTCAATCTCCCATTTAACCTTACATAACCTTTTCCACACTTTAGAGTTACCAGGTTTAAAGAAACTATTAGTGGGGGGAATGTCCACACAATATTTAGAGAGCATAAATTTAGCCTAAAGATTATCTTTAAACCGCAATTTAAACCGCAATTTAAAGGAAAATACCTTAGTAATGTCAAAAAGAGACTTACAACAAATGCCACCACCTTCAAACAAACCACAACATTTCTCCCAAGAGCACCACGTAATTTTAGAAGAAGATAGAGTACCCTTCCAAAAGAACTTATTAATAATCTTATGAATCTTGCTACAAACAGTTTGAGTAGGAAATAAAGTCTGAAACAAATAAATAGGTAAGGCACAAAGAACACTTTTAATTAAAGTAATCTGACCACCAAAACTCAAAAAGTTAGAATCCCACGAAAGAAGCTTATTATGAACAGAGACAACAAGATCATCAAATAAGAAAGTATGTTTTCTGCCTTTAAACAAGGGAACCCCAAGATACTTATGGGGAAGGCTAGAATGAGTAAAACTAGTAACATCTTTAATAGAAAGAATACGATCATTGAGAATCCTTTTAGAAGTAATAAAACATCATTGGTTTTTACTAAAAGTGAGGCCACTAACATACTCAAAATTATTGAACAAATCCATAATTTTCTTAATCCTATTAATAGTAGCATTAGAGAAAACAATGAAATCATCAACAAAGCATAAACCAAATCCTCCAACAGTCCTAAAGTAAAGGTTAGGATTAAGTTGGAATAAATTTGAAAGACCCCTGGATAAAAAATCCTCCACAATGATAAAAAGAGCTGGAGAAATAGGGTCTCCCTGCCTTAAGCCATGGGAGGAGTTAAAGAAGTCGTGTTTAGAACCATTCAAAATGATGAAAAAAATACACATTTTCAATACAATTTTTAATAAGGTGAATAAATACATTATTAAAACCAAAACATTCAAGCATAAAGTAGATAAAATTCCAACTAATATTGCATAAGCCTTGGCAATGTCAAGCTTCAAAATCATATTACCTCCTCTAACTTTAACATCCAAATCTTGGGTAAGCTCTTGAGCAAAAAGGATATTATCCGTAATAGCCCTGCCTTTCACAAAACCCATTTGAAAAGGAGAGATAATTTTAGGCAAAATAGAAAATAAACGATTCATAATAATCTTATAGATTAATTTATTGAAAAAAGTGCAAAGACTAATATGTCGAAAATCATTCCACATTTGAATAGAAGCAGTTTTAGGAATAAGAACAAGCAAGGAAGACGTAAAAATTTTTGGAAAAGGATTACCAGCAAAGAAATCTAAAGCGGCCAAGAAAATGTCATCATTAATAATATGCCAACATTTTTGAAAAACAAAGTCGTATACCCGTCCGGGCCAGCAATAGAATCACTATTCATACCCAAAATTTTACTTTTAACTTCCTCGAAAGAGGGAGGAGATGAGAGGAAAACATTATCCTCATTGGAGATAATATTAGGAATGAAAGAGTGATCCTTTACCTGAAGAGGGTTAAAAACTTTATTGAACTGGTTAGTGAAGTGATTAACAGCTAAATTGGCAATCTCAATACGATCATTAGAAAACGAACCATCATCTCTAAGGATGTTGGTGATACTATTCTTAATCCTTTTCCTCTTAGTTAAAGCATGAAAATACTTCGTATTACTATTGCCTTCAACCAAGTGCTTAGCGGCAGCTTTTTGCTTTCAAAATACCTCTTCCTAAGCTTGAAAGTTAAAAAGATCAAGTTTCGATTGATTGAGTATGGAAATATTAGCATCAGAGGTTTGCCAGTTAAATTAAACAACCTCAAAAAAGGTGTTGTAAAGTTACCACATATTCTGAAACCTGAATTGAGCAGGAATATTAATTTGTCTATTATTAATGTTTAGAAGCAAGGGAGAGTGGTCTGATAAAGTTCTACTAAGATGCTGAACATTGGTACAGCTAAAAGCATTAATCCAAGAATCATTAAACAAAACACGATCAAGCCTTTGCCATAAATGACCCCAATTCTACGTAAAATTGTTACCAGTGAAACCAATATCGATCAAGTTGTAAACTAAAATCATATTATTAAAGTCAGCCATAGAACGAAAAGAGGGAGACGAACCTCCACTTCGCTCAACAGGATTAGTGATAGCATTGAAGTCACCTCCCACCATCCAAGGCAATTGACCAATACAATTAAAGTTTATAAGCTGATCCCATTGCATTTTCCTAATATAAAGAGAAGAAGCAGCATAAACAAAAGAAGCATAGCACTGAAAGTTGAAAGCCTCAATTTTACAATGTAAGACTTGAGTGAAATCACCAATAACGTCAATTGCAATAGGATTTTTCCAAAAACCCAAATTTTATTAGCCACATTCGAAACAGCATTGTTAAAAGCAAAAAACTGAGAAGTGCTAGCTAACCTAGAAGCAGGGATAAGTGGTTCAAGCAAAACAAGAATAGAAATATGATGAATGCGACATAAGTTTTTAACACGAATATTAGACGATGGGCATCCTATGCCCCTAACATTCCAAATAATAGTATTAAACATAACAAACACATTAATGAGAAGTATTTAAACGAGTTTTTCTAGGAGTTTTTCTAGCCGGTTGTAATGTAACATGCTTAGGCTTGCGGCCCCTTTTACTAAGAAATTTAATAAAGCTTGTATCGTTGTCATCCGAGGCAAAACATTTAGATGCAGTCATTATCTCATCAGTATCGGAAAGATTTATCACTATTATAGTTAGAGGAAGAAATATTTTTACCAGCATTATGGAGATGAGAACCATCATCATCCATAAACCCACCATCATCGTCCCAAATATCCACAACTTTATTGTTAGGAAATGGAATTAATTGTTTGGTCATGTCTGCAATTTCTCCATCCTCAAGGGGAATAGCATTCTCCTCTTTATCACCATCAGCCAACTGATTAACATCATTAGTACCCATATCTGCATTCTGATCATTAGGAGAATTAGAAATCACAAGATCATTAATCTCAATTATATTATGATTAAGAATGTCAAAGGGAGAAGGATGAGCCTGTTGCACAGAATTGATCACATTAGCACCACAGTCAATAGAACCAGTCTGAATTAAAACATTAGGCAAAGTATTAACAAGATCAACTTCTTGATCAATAGAATCAGACACGATAATATGCTCATGCAAATCCATATCGGGTCCAATGACGGGGGTCACAGGTTGGGGTTGTTTGGTAGGATTAGTGACAGATGAATGCTTCAAAGTATTCTTCTCAGTATTTAATTGGGGTTTTTTTTCGAAAGCATTAATTCACCGCATGCCCATGCATTTTGCAAAAAGTGCAAAATATAGGCAAATTTTCAAACTCCACTTTCTGAAAATAGCCTTTCATTTCAGAACCAATCCAAACTTCATTCGAAACATCCAACTCAACCAGAACCCTTGCCACAGATGGTCGAGACATGGAAGCAGTGGCTTGGTCTGTCTGCAAGGGCCGGCCAAAGATGGAAGCCAAACCAAATAAAACTTAGTGCTTAAAGAAATGCAAACGTAAATTCGGAAATGAATTCCAAACAGGAGCAATTGGAGATTCTTCCCTAACATCAAAATTTGGAGTCCATTTCAAAATATGCATTTGACAAGCCTGGATATAGTATAAATGCCTAGCAAAAATCCGACTATAGTCAAGATCATTAGCCAATTGGATAGCAACATGCCTTTGATCGAGTAAACCCACATGAAAAGAGCCGGAAAGTTTAAGGTTCACAAAAAATTTTTGTATCACATCAAGATTAGTCCTTCTAAGGACAAACTTACCAACCAAGGTTAAAGCATACGGAGCAGCTAGCTGCTCAACAACCGAATCCTCAAAAATAAGGGCAGGGAAGCCCTTAAACGAGGATTGAACAAATTTACGTTTGGAAGAAAACAAAGAGACACCTGCAAGAGCAGCAGCCTTAAAGGAGCGTGTTTTCTCTTCAAAAGAAGAAGGAGGCTGGTTAGATGACGACAGAGTCATCATCTCCCCAAACGAAAAGGCAAAGAGACCAGCAAAAACTACACACTAGAGAGAACCAGATGCGAAAGGTAAGAAAAGCAAACCGAAAACTCCAAGAACGGCCGGCCTGGAGGGCCAGAAACGCTCGCACCAGAGGATGCCCTAGAACGCCCGAAAATCGCCTCAGAGCAAAGAGACGTTACGCCAGGACATCAAGATTAGGCCTTGGTGTCAAATAAATGAATCTTCTTCTTTCCTTTGAATAGATGCACTATTTGATAAATAATAGGAACCTTTTGAATTGATAATCTTGAAAAATCTTTTAGCATTACTTGCCTTGTTAATGACTTCTTCTTTGGCTTTGTTTGGCACTACTATTTTCTAAAGCAAATTTTTAGTACAAAATTTTTTATTTAAGGAAATTTTTATAAAAAACTTCTTTCGAAAGAAATAAGAAAACTTTCCTAATGAAGCATTAGATGCCACAATGTTACTTTTTGTTTTATCAACCATAAGATCAGAAGACTCCTCATAATGTTCTAGGCAATTCAAAAGTTTCCTTACACCTACCTTTTCTTTCATTTATAAAAATTATTATATCATCTATAAAACAAAGGTGAGAAATATAGAAAGAAAGATTTCTCTATTATTCGTTATAGAATTGATGGAAAAAAGAATGCTCCAAAATCTTGAAATGTAATCCGTAACTATGATGATAAAGAGGGGGAAAGAGGATCTCCACATTTCAAAATTCTGAAGGAATTAAAAAATTCAGCACTCGCCATGTTAAAGAGAATAGAAAACTAGCAATTCTCAATGCAAGAAGCAATGTAATTAGGAAAGTCTTTCAAGAGTCCAAGCCTTTTAAAAACATTATAAAGAAATGCAAATGAAGTTCATCATATGCATTAGAAAGATGAAGCTTCACCATCATATTATTCACATACACCTTAAAATTTAAATTACTGTTAATTTTTTATGTAACAAAACATTATCAATGATATTTCTTCCATGTATTTACCTTCTTTTGTTAGGAGAAATGATTTTAGGAAGAATTTTAGCAAATCTAGTAAATATAATTTTATATAGTTTAGCTAAAAACTGATCATATACTAAGTCTTAATAACATTATTTGGACCAAAGTTCTAATAAGAATGGAAGAAGGGAGTTGAAAATTCATCTAGTCCTGGAGTATAATCAATATCAATAGAGAAGGTAATTTTCTTCACTTCCTTAGCATCGGGTATGGTAAACATAACATAATCCTCTTCTAAAATATCTATAGAAAAAAGATTCTCCAATATAATTTCTGAAGAATTACCGTAAAGCAGGTTTTTAAAATAATTGCATAAAAAACTATGAATTTCTTAGAACAATTATCCAATTTCTTTAGCATTATTTAATTTTGCAAATCTAATTTTAACTCCACTTGGCCTTCTTTAATGAGAGATAAAATCTAGATTTTCTATCACAATCTTTAATACTTCTAAGGACTTGTTATACAATCTCTAACTAGACTTCTACCTCTTGGGTAAGGTCTTAATATCTACCTCAAAAGGCTGTAATGGTCTAAAGATAGATAATTTTTCACCTTTGATTCAGATACACACGACATTCACCCTCTCCTATTTGAGGTATAATCGATCCCAAGGGGATGCGATCTGACCTCCTTCACAGAGGTTAATGTCATCATCAGTACTTTGACTAGCAACCTCGGATTGGTCAAATATCCTAAGAAGATGTAAATAAAATCTTAACATCCTTGATTTGAAAAATATATAAATCTTTAGTATGTCTAAATCAATAGATGATCAATCCCAGGGGAATTTGATCAGACCTCTTTCATACAAGTTAACATCATAAAGCAATACTCTAACAAGTAATATCAGATAGGTCATACATCCATGATGGATTCTCTCAATCTCTTTCAAATATGTTACGATCATTGAGTAATGCTCTGAAAAATAACCTCGAACATGTCAAACATTCTTTATGGATTTTACTCAAAGTTATCAAGCAATGCTCTGATAAATAACCCCAAAAAAACTCACCTATGAGGTAGCCTCGAAGAAAAACAGTTATTAGATAAGGTCCTTATAAGAAATTAGATTTCATGAGAGCAAGTAGTTGACATGTTCATCACTTATTCAAAGATGTTAGAAGGCTAAAAAGCATCAAAAGATACAAGTATACAACGACCTTAGTATGATAAAAAGCCTCAAAGGTATAGGTTCGAGTGTACTTTCATTTTCAGTAGAAGCTGAAATTAAAATTACATCGGCATCATCCGTAGAAGTTAATGTCAACAAGCAATAAACAACTTCAAAGAGGTCAAATATCTTTTGTGAATTCTAGTGACCTCTTCTCTACAACATATTAAAGCATCTCCTACAAATTCTTCCTAACAATGAAAGATTATAACTTGATCATCAATAGGCCTCCATAAGATTGACACAGTTAGTGTGTAGCCGGACTACTGACAAGGCACACTACTTCAGCCACTTCCATAAGGGATGTCTGATATCCACACATGTCAGTATGGATGCATATTGCATTTCGCAAAATAAAACTTGACCACTGCCATCATTGGCCTTTAGCTTAATGTCCGTCGTCAGTCCTTCATTTCATATCAGCCATCATAGGCTTCTCACTCAATTACTATTAGCACTATGCCCTCAAATTATTTCATTCAGCTCTCCACCCAATTATTGATCGCCATCGGACTTCCACCAAATCATTGATTGCCAATGGACTTTGGTTCATTCGTTAACACTGCTGTACTTTCACTTATTCATCGGTCATTGTTGGACTTCCACTCAAACATCATTTAAATTCAACCCATCTACTGACAATCACTAGTTCTCCTCCTAGTATTATTACCATCATATCTTCTTAAATCATCATTGTATAGAAGAAGTATAAAATCTCATCATGACTTTTTCTATACAAAAGAGGGGCACTGAAGCTTGATAAAAGATGTCAACAATCTTAGATAGTGGAAAATTTTTAATATATAAAAAAAAGAGTGGACAAAAAAAAATGAAAGGAGGATAAAGTTTCTTATACACATAAAGAGGGACACTAAATTTGTATAGGGAATGTTACATATAAAAAAACTATTGAAAGCCTCTAAAGCTAGAAGAAAATGGGAAAGAGAGAAAATGATGGTTGAAAACTCTAACTTCTATAGAAGACGATGGAAGGCCTCAATTGTAAAAAAGTTAAAGGAAAAAGGGAGATGGAAAAGAGTAATTTTCATGTATATTAAGGGGGTATTTATAAAATAAAAGAGGGAAAAGTAGTTCACAAAAGGTGCGGGGGAGGAGATGGGGGGGGGGGATTCCTCCAAAGGTGATTAAAATCTTTTTTAACCTTTTGGACCCTAATTAGAAATTTTCAGAATTTATAAAATAAAAACTCGAGGCTATAAAAAAAAATCCAATCATTTTAATTGCAGTAGATTGTAACCAACTGCTTAATGAAGCCATGCACATAAAATTATGTTCCTTTGTAGACATATGCAGACAGGCCATCTCTGGCAGAGGCAACTGGCGGTCAGCTAGCTAGTTCGATAGCCAATGTGCATCTAGGCCCATGTTTTGTCCCAGACAGTCTTAATCAGATGTTTATGACCTATTTGGAGCCATTTTTAGATGTTTCAGATGAAATTTTGACACTTTTAGAGCTTAATGGGACCTCTATAATAAATTTTGAACAATTTCAAACATTTTGGAGTATAATTTTCAATAATTTTTTGTTTCAATCAACACACCAAGTTAACGACATCTTAAATTTGTAGTTAAGGATATTTTATTTGGTTCGCAACTTTGAAAGGAGATCGAAATTAAAGTCTAAGGAGCAGTCTCCCCTCATAATTATTCAAAAATTATAATTGTGTATTGAAAGAATTTATGAATCTATGATATTTATTTTTGGACTTTATAGGCTTCAACATCCAAAAATAGGGGTGCAACTGATATATCATAACAAATTTATCTTGATCGGGCATGAATCTCTAGGAAAAATTTAATTTGAAACTTTTAAAATTATATTTTGAACCATTTGCACTTCAATCTTAACAAACTTAAAGTCAAATAAAACATCTCAGGAAGATGAACCCAATAACACCAAATTTAACTCAATATGGGTCCAAATGGTTCCAAATCATATACCCAAAGCACCTTTAGAAGGTTCAAGCCATATTTGTGGACTACAAAATGATTTCCAAATGTAACATGATTATAGTTGAATCAAGCAGATAAACCAAAACAATCAAATGAGCCTAACATCATCAAATACTCATGTCACTAAGACACTCAAAAGCCTAATAACTTGTCCACAATTAAGGGAATCAATACCAGCTGTCTATTCAAACCACTCCCAATATAACATTGATATCACTACTATTTACTAGCCAAATAACTCTCAAAAAACTATAAATAGACCCCTTATTCCTCATTGGAGAAGGTAGGGAAACAACAAAGACAAGGAAGAGAATGAAGAGATATATTTTAGAGTTCTCTTGCCACTAGACTCCGAGACCACCGTCGGACCCCCGACTAATGTTGGACTATCACTGAACTTCTGCCCAGCCACTGACTAACGCTAGAGTTACACCCGGCTGTTGATTATTATCTTTTCGACCTCTGTCACAAGAAAACTATCTTTCTAACCACTATTCCACACCGACTATGATCTTTTTAACCTCTGTTGCCCACCGACTACAATCCTTCTAACCTCCATCACTAAACAACTATCTTTTTATCACTGTCACCAGTCGACTACGATCCATATGACCTCTATAGCTTAATAATGGTCTTTGTGCTGATTATCACCCACAGACAACGGTCATTCCGATCTCCGTCGTTATAAAATAGTCTTTATGATCACTATCATCTGTAGACTATGGTCCTTCTGACCTCCAATGTCAAACAATAGCCTTATTAACCACTTTCATCCATTAACTACAGTCCTTTCAACCTATATTGCCAGAAAATGATCTTTCTGACCACTATAGCCCACCAACTATGGCCCTTCCAATCTCTATCACTAGAAAATGATCTTTTTGAGCAATGTCTCCTACTGACTATGGAATTTCTGACCTTCATTACCTACCGACTATGGTCCTTCCGCCCTCCTTTGCCAGACAACGGTCTTTTTGACCTCTATCATCCATCGACTATGGTCCTCCAAACCCCGTTGCCCATCGACTATGGTACTTCGAACCTCCGTTGCTAGCTAACTATAGGCCTTCCGACCTCCATCGCTAGAGAATAGTCTTTCTGACCTTCATTGTCCATTGACTAGTTTCCTTCTAACATTTGTCGCTAGACAACAAACTTTTTGACATCCATTACCCGCCGACTACGGTCCTTTTGATAATTGTCACTTGACAATAGTCTTTTTGACCTTTGTTATCCTCAGCGACTATAGTTCTTATAACCTCCATCATAAGCTAACTATAGTCCTTCTTACCTCCATCACCTGACAACTATCTTTCTGACCTCCATCACTAGCCCACTATGGTCCTTTCGGCCTTTGTCGCCAAACAAAGGTATTTCTGACCTTTTTTGCCTGCCGACAATGATGTTTTTGACCTCCATCACCTGTCGACTATGGTTTTGCTACCTAAACAAATATGTCAATATTGATTCTTCCAATTCGCACCATGCAATGCACTCTATATGATACATACTTGCTACATCAAGCCAAGACTTTCCCCTAAATGAAGGGCCTCATTTGTAATCAACTTCAAACACCAGTGGATTCATTCAAATTGGGCAAGACCTCATGATTGTATATAAATTTCCTTACAAATTATATTTATATATAATCTTGCATCTAATGCTTTTAAAATTTTATATTAGAATTAAAATATGACTATTGATATACAATTTTTAAATATTAAATATTTTTAATGTAAGTGTAAATGTAATTTTCAAATAGTTCCTAGCTTTTATAAGTTAACATAAACTTAAATTAAATATATAAAAAAGTCAATTTAGAAAATTTAATATTCATTAAATATAAATTAATTTATTTTTACTTATTAGAAAACATTAACTTTTGTTGGCCAGGTTAAATTTATAATAGTATTAAAATAAGAGAGTTTATAACAAATTAAAAATATATATATATTTAAATAAGAAATTTTCTAACAAATCCATTGAAAATTTTAATTTATGTAAATATAAGATATTGGTTCTATAAATACAATATTTTAATTTAATTTACAATATATTTTTTTAATTAAATATTATTTGTAAAAAAAATAAAATAGTTCTAATTTCAATGACAACATTGCATAAATTATTCACGGTTTTTAAATATAAGATTTATTAATAAATAATTCTCATAAATTAAAAAATAGATATATAAACTATTATAAAAATCTATCAAATAAATATTATTAAAAAAAACAAATTAAATTATGGTAATATACAAAAGTTTCATTTTAAATTCTAATTGAAATAAGACCATTTTTTTTAATAGGTTAAAATTGACTTTGGAGGGGCTATGCAGTTTTTCTAGATTCTATTTGTGCTAAAATATTTTGAGTATAAAGTAATTTAAAGTAGTATAGGGAGCTCAAAATCATTAATGATTGGTTGGTTGAAAAAAAAAATTAAAGCAATTAATAAGTAATATTTTAAGGTATTTGATATTCAAAAAGTAATATTTCTTAAGTATTACATTGCCTCACCTTCCCCACTGATAACCATCACTACACTATCGGTGGTCGCATCTTGCAATTAGTGTTTGCTGCAAATACCATAGACTGCTATAACTTATCGCCACTAATCTCCGGCCACCCGCATTACAGAAACCAACAAGTACAATTGCCACGGACTTCCATTACCTATCACTTGCCATCTTATCACCTCCGTCACTTGTTGAATTTCTAAATTGCATATATTTAAAATACATTATAAAAAATTAAAGATTTCATTACATTTAATTTGCATCCAACAAAATAATTTATTTGTTTGTAAAATACACATATTCAATTACATTATATTTAAAATTTCACTGAATTACAAATTCATAAAAAAAAGGTTCATATTGCCACAAATTTGGATCTAGTTGTGCATTACCAAAGATCAAAACTAATTTTCATTGCCCAAGATCAAAGTAAACAAATAACAAAATAAATAAATAAATAAAGGGATGAACAGCTAAAAGTAACTACTGGCCTTTTTAAATCCCAGAGCAATGAAGAAATGAAAGGAGTAGATATAAGGAGGATTATAAAATACGCAAGCAAAAGCTCACTGAGCCAACTATAAAGGTCAATGCACACCTCTGAAACTACTGTGTTGGAATAACAAATCCAATAGTTGCAGGCTCCATGAATACCATACATGCTTATCAATGAAAAATTTTGAATTACAACATAAATTAAATCTAACATATGAGTACCTTTACAATTATGATAACTTAGCAAAAAAAATAAAAATCCTAGAATCATTCTTTCATGTTATTCATGGCTAGCTTTGTTACAGAACATGACATCGAGTAAAAGAACGACTGCCATTGACCCCCCAAATCCCACTCCAAAAAATATTGCTAATACAATCATGTAATTTCTGTTATTTGGAGATGTCTCACCCAAACTCTGAGGTGATGTGGTTGTATTGTTTGCTGCTAGAACTAACGTGTTGCAACAAAAGCAATGTAGTCCCTCATTTCCTTCAAATGGAGTGTTTGTGAAAGAACATAATTGACCTCCTTGTGGAACTATTCCAACCAACTTATTGTAGGAGAGGTTTAAATATGACAAGAAATGTAAAGAAACAAAGTTCTGTGGAATTTTACCAGAAAGGTAATTCTTTGAAAGATCTAATGACTCGAGCTGTACCAAATTTCCTAAATTAATAGGAATTTCACCCATCAAATAGTTTTGTGAAATGTTTAGTACTTGGAGAGAGACAAGTTGCCCAATAATTGAAGGGATCTCTCCTTCAAAATTATTGTTGGAGAAATCTATTAAAATTTCATAATAATTTTCTAGAGTCATTAGTTGCCCTTTAACCATGATGGTGACAGCATATGAATGACCCATTGGGTGTATATTAATATCATTTCTTATTATTGACGTAAAATTAACTACTGAAGCACTTTGCAGATAAATTTCCACTAAAGTTATTAGAAGAGATGTCAAATACCTGCATCAAGGGAAAAGCATAACTTGTTTCATAGCTTCCATTATGAGGCCCAATTAACCCATAGAACTTATTAGATCTTAGATCAAGGATCTTTAGAAAAGACATATTTCCTAACCAATAAGGAAATATGTCCTTAAAGTTATTATTCCCCAAGTCCAAAAATTGAAGTGATATACAATTAGATAGAGACCTAGGAAGCAATCCCTCTAATTGGTTGTCTCTCAGATTTATGATTTGCAGATTACATTTTTGACTAATTCCATGAGGTATGGCTCCTTGAAGTTGATTTCCTCTTAGATTTAACACATAGAGATTCATTCCATCTTCTAGCAAACATGGTGGAATAGTACCAGTTAGCTTGTTGTTAGATAAAATAAGAATCGTGAGTAGGGCTAAGTTGCAGATGAATGGTGTGATTTCTCCAGTCAGGTTATTATTTGCAAGAGAAAGCCAAAATAAATGAGATTGTGAAATGGTATTGGAGGGGAACTCCAACCCCGCAATTCTATTAAACTTGTTATATGATAAATCCAAGTGCTCGAGCTCTGATAGATTCCAAATGGAAGATGGCATTGTACCATAGAATTGACAATTTGAGAGGTCTAAATATTCTAAAAACTTTAGGTTGCCTATTGCATCAGGTAAATTCCCTGAAAAATTTGTATTAGAAATGAACAAAGCTCTTAAATTACTATACTTTGAAAAATCAGGAAGATAACCAAAAAGCATTGGATTATAGGAGATGTCAAGCAATTTCAAATTTTTTAGTTGAAAGATTTTCTTGGGAAAAAACCCTTTGAATTTGTTACCTTGAAGGTGAAGGTCAGATAAGGAAGAAAAATTGGCAAATATATCAGGGATGGTAGAGTCCTAATTATTATGTCTAAGATCGATTAAGGATAAAAAATGGAGCTTGGGTAGAGAGGAACAAATGGAACCGAAGAGGGAGCAACTATACATGCTCAACGACTCAAGAACAGGGGTTGAATTGACTAGAACACGACACCATTCATCCCGATATGATGATACATTAACATAATTAAGAATAAGCACTTTCAGACTGCTCATGTTCTGCAAAATCATCGGATTAATAGCTAGAGAATGCTTATAATTGCAGGAGAGGTTGAGGAAAGTCAAATTTTTCAAGCGAGAGATACTAACAGGAACCTTTCCAACAAATCCAGCATAAGAAAGATCAAGGCTTGAAAGATTTACAAGCCTGTCCCATCCAAAGTCCGGAATGGGAATTCCATCGAAGTTATTTTCGGCAAGAATGAGAATGTCTAAAGATGTGAGATTGAAGAGACTAGGATCAATTCTACCAGCAATGTGTCTAAACCTTAGGTTGAGCTTAACGATCCTTCCATATTCTTCACATATCACGCCCTCCCAGAAGCAGCAATCCGTTCCCACCTGCCATGAGTCTAGATTTCCAGTGATAAAACCTTTATTTAGCTGCAGAAGTGCTGAATTCTCTACTTCAAGGCATCGACCAGCAGCATCACACATGATCAAGAAAAGCTCCAAATAGAGAAGCACTAAGAAAAAGACAACGAACTTGAAATGAAACAGCTCCATGAAGAAGCTCGGAGCTCTCAAAAAATGAAGCTTTAATTGAAGAATGTAGAAGTCTTGAGAGGACTCGTCAAATTTCAAATGGCCATGGTTGATTGAAATCAGCTTTTTATACCAGTGGCGGACTCCACAAAGTGGTGACATTGGTCTTTTAATTTGTGGCCATCTCCAACTCCCAAGTGGAGTTATTCTATGAGTTCACCTTTTTCTTAGTTGGACAAATTTTAAATATAATTGAGATTATAAATCAAATAAAGTAAATAATATTTTTAAAAATAAAATTTTAAACGTTATAGTCGCCAGAAAAAGGAGAGAGAAAGCAAAAAAAAAATTAAAACTATTTTTTATTGTTTGCCTATTTTTTTATTTTGTTTTTAATAAAACTTTAAGTGTAAATAAATTTTCTTATTTTTGTTAAAAATTTTTTAGAATCAAATATTTTTATGAGTTATTATGTGTGAAAATATTCCACGATTTAATTTTTCATAATTTTTTCAAATGTTCATTTGTTTGCAATTTTTTTTTTTCATAATAAATCTTTATTGTTTTAAATTTATCTTGTTTTAAAGAAAACAATATTTTAAATAGATATTTATGATAATTTTGAATTAGATTTAAAGAAATATACTAATAAAAAAATACTAAATAATATAATTTTGAATAATAAAATTAATTTTTAATTTGGTCATTTTAGTTGTAATCTCTTTCTATCTTCATAAAATCTGGCTGTCGTAAAATTTTCACAAAAAAAAAAAAACAAATTAATTTTTACTTAATTTAATTTATAACTTTTATTAAATTTAAAATTTTTTTGCCAGAATTTTATAGTTATAATAATCAATTAAGCACAAAATTTAAGAAACAATAATTTGTCAATATTTTTTTGTCATTACTAAATAATTTGAATGCGATTGAATTGAGCTTTCTTTCGTGTTCGAGTCAATTAAATTTGATGCTTAAAATATTTGTTCGTATTCAAATTATTCATTTAACGAATGAATTAAATAGGAGCTTTTATATTGCGAGTTTCAACAAGGAAAATGAATGCCCATCTCTAACCATTTTCTAAAGAAATCCTCTTTAGTTGAGGTTCATTTTAGCTAAGCACTCTTCTTGATAAAGCTCATCAAGGATGAAGTTGTTTGATGCTAGCATGTTACCTACAGAGCCATATATATTTAGTTCCTTGATTCACTTACTCTTTTGAAGAGTGACCGGTGAGAAGGACAAGGGAATTAAGAAAAAAAAATTAATATCACAAATAAACAAAAAAGAGAAATTAAATAGAAATTTTAGTAAAAAAAAGGACTATTGCAGCACAATTTTTTAAATTTCTACCTTGCTTTAAAAGTTTCCTCATGAAGAGCTCCATCATCCAAGATTCTCATAATGAAGTTCGTTTGTCCTCTATAATATATATTGCCAATAATAGTCACAATATTTATATTTCCATATTTTTTTCATTTTCTTTTCTTTAGCTTTGTTTTTTAAGCTCACATGAGCGATAATCAAGTCAAGTCCCATGAAGTATGTTTATGTTGACTGTTAGAAATTATGAAATGCCCTTTTACATAAATGCAAAGTAGTGTAGTAAGGACATAAATGCTTAGAACAATTCTAATGTTATAAGATAATCCCGTTGGTCTTTCACCTCTCTCCAGAGAAATCACAGGGTGGATTTGCAATGGGGTGAGTTGAGAAGTAAGCAATTTCATCTTATCAAGAATAAATTTAAATATATTATTAATGAAACCCCCTGTATTAAAAAAGGATGCGATAGATTTTTTAATTAGCAACCAGTGTAGAGGCCACTTAAGCATTGCTAAAGGGGTTACCACTAACTAGTTTTTCTTCTTTGCTGAAGGTAATCTATGTGACCTAAGCTATCGACATTAAAAAAAAAAAGCATTGGGTTACAACACATAAAATTATCTCTTGAGACTTACTCACTGAGATTTCCCAGCTCCATCTCATAATGAAAATAAAAAGCATTAACTCATGATATGGGTAGAGAAAAAGATAATAAGCTCATTCCTCTAGTCTTTAATTTATCCTTTCCTACTTACCTACCTAGTTCAGCTTGAATGAAACTCTTCATCTTTCTTTCTCTATTACATTCTCCTCCAAGGTTTAGATTTCTTGGCACTCCTCAATGTCATATAAATCATCATTGTGGAATGTACAAATTATCTAGGCATCACTAGTGCATGCACCACCATCATTGACACAAAAATCATAAAAACTTCATATTTTGACTTGCCTGCACTAATTCATATATGAATATGGGCATGGGAGTTGTGGTCATGATATTAATGATTGGATATATCTCTTCATTTATGTATAAGAGAGCACTATGTAGCACTTCCAACATTAGTGAAGTGGGATGCCCTACATTCCTCAATATCTTCATCAGTAAAGGAACCCTCTGTTGGCTATAATTATGTAGTACATGTTGTGTTTGATGCCTTCTCCTAGTCCATCGGCCATCCGATAGCTCATATTGTGCCCACAATGTTAGGATAGATCTTTCCATACTAGGAATTCTGTAGGATAAGTGTGATATAACACAAAATAAGAAATCTGTGTAGAAAAAATTAACGATGACGTAGCCCTGATTTGATATTTAATATTTCTTCAGAAAAATCTATAAAATTAGTATTAATTATCCAGTTGGATTAACTAACACATGTATTAATGATTTATTTTAGTATCCAAACTTGGTTTAAAAAACATAACAATCCTCACAAATGAGAAAAATCACATTCATCTATCATTTTAAATACAAAATTAACCTAGATAAGACTTTAGTCGACATACAGAGAAGTTTTCCCTCTCCTAGCAAACTAAGATAAGGGTTATTTTTTGTTGGGATCTTAGGTTCCTATAGAGGCAAACTACTATAGTCAATTACTTCTCCTAAGAGAAAACTTTAAATTAAAGTAGAGATTAGTTCCTAAGCCTCTAATATAATTATTTATATAAGTGAGTGGCCATACTGTTCAGAAAATAACAGTCATTCTTTTCAATAATATTATTGAATTTTATAGAAAATGCATTCGAATTGAATATTTGTATATATTTTTCAATTATTAAGGTAGAAGATGTGTAAATATTTCTGGGCTTATACCTGCTTAGAATGAGCAGTCAACATACAACCAAATACACAAGTAGTCATCCTAAAAGTAGTGTATGATAAAGCTAGCTCTATCCTAAGAGATCAAATGATCAAACCATACTCCAAATTATTTAGTACATATGAGTAATTTTGACTTTACGTTCAAGTGATGCTTGCAAATATATATATATATATATATATATATATTCAAAATTATATTTAGTTTAAAAAATTATTAATCTCTAGATTTTATATAATTTTTAAGGTATTATTAAATTTTATTTATTATATTTAATTAATTTTATTAAGAAAATTAATTATTTAATGAATTAAAATTAAATTTTAGTTGATTTTTTAATATGAATTAATTATCTCTGATTTTATTTCATTTTATTTAAATTTATTTTATATTTATTAATTTATTAATTAATATTTAAATTATGAAAATTATTTATTAATTAAATTTAAACAAAAATTAATTTTTGATTTTTATTTTCAATGATTGTAGGATTGACTTAGAGTTGATTGAAAGTGGTTTGGTGTTTTTATGAATTTTATTTGAATGATTGTTAATTTTAGAAGATCAACCATTAAGGAAAGGTTAATTGTAATTTATTGTTGTTTGAAGATCACTTAATGTCAAAGGGGAGTGTATTAATCCTTAATATGTAATGTCAATAAACTTTCTATGTTTAGAGTTCTCATTATTCTTAATTGTTGTCCTTAATTATCACCAAGTTTGACTGGTTTGATAATCAATATTTCTAAGATATATGAATTGATGAATTCCAAAATATTAGAGTTAAGTTATAACCTAATTATTTAGAAATTTAACTAGTAAACATTCATATATTCAAATTAGTCCAATGGCACTATGATAGATAAGGGATATGACATAATATAATTTTATGTCTTTGAACCCAATCCAATGGTTCTTTACAGAACAAATAAATATTGTAAAAATATTATCAATATAAATGTTCTCTAAAGGTCTAACAAATACCTTTAAATTTATTTTTAACAATTGAGCTCTGCTTAATAATTTCATGGAGTGGTCATATGCATGCAATTGATGAATGGATGGTTTATTATGAATTGTTAAAAAATATAAATAAAAAATGTCTTACTGACTTAAAAATTTTAATTGTCATTAATAGCATGCTTAAAAAAATTTAGAAAATTTATTGCAAATAACATATAGTAGGCAATTGATGGTGGTAAAATTGGAGCCAAATTAAACGAGTACTTAAGGAATTTTTTAAATAATTAGGAAATCCATATAAATGAAATGATTCCTTAAATACTTTGAAATTTGGTTTGATTTTATATTTAAATGAAACATGATTTTAAACTGAAGAAAATGATATATTATATGTAATAATTAGTTAAGTATTTAATTTATTATGATTTTTTGATAAATTTGTGATTAAAATGTACTTAAAATAATTTTTATTAAATTAGCATGGCAGCACATTTATTACAAATGATTACACCATTGATAATCATTAGTGATTTATGGAAACCTGTCAATGCTAGCTTTGGTGCGGCATTAAATTCTAATCATTAAGCGAAGGCGGTGCAACAGAGCCACTTTATAATTCTTGGTCTAGAATGCAGCTGAGATGCTGTCGTATAAAAATCAAAATGATTAGGAGAGTGCATAGTCTGGATAAGTACCGAAGTGACAAGATCTGGATTGTTGATCATGTGATCAATGGTTTAGATTTTGTATAGTTTAAAAATCATTTAACTAAACCCTAAATGATGAAGAAAGCCCCATTTATAAATAACAGTTGAACCAATGTCTACAAAATTTTAAACAAGGCTTTAAAAAGCACAAAGAATAATGTGGAGGAGTTTTTATGGTATGAACACACTATTCATAAAGGTAATTAGATATAAGGTCCTTAAACTAGGGTTTAAGATTTACCACAATTAGCTAGATCTCATAGAGGGTGCATGTTTTTGGGCTCATTTTTCTTGTTGAGATGTATATATCAATCCTCGAGAAGATTCCTCAACCTGAGAA